GGCGCATGCAAACGCAGCCATTGGGGCCTTCGTTGGAGCTCCCTGTGGGCCACGAAACGTGTGAGGGGTGTGCCGAAATGGGTGCGGTGGGCGCATGCGAACGCAGCCATTGTGGCCATCGGTGGAGCTCCTTGTGGGGCGACGAAACGTGTGAGAGGTGTGGCGAAATGGGTGCGGTGGGCGCATGCAAACGCAGCCAGTGTGGCCTTCGGTGGAGCTCCTTGTGGGGCCACGAAACGTGCGAGGGGTGCGGCGACATGAGAGCGTTGGGCGTATGCGAACGCAGCCACTGGGGCCTTCGGTGGAGCCCCCTGTGGGCCACGAAGCGTGTGAGGGGTGTGCCGAAATTGGTTCGGCGGGCGCATGCAAACGCAGCCATTGGGGCCTTCGTTGGAGCTCCCTGTGGGCCACGAAACGTGTGAGGGGTGTGCCGAAATGGGGGCGGTGGGCGCATGCGAACGCAGCCATTGTGGCCATCGGTGGAGCTCCGTGTGGGGCCACGAAACGTGTGAGAGGGTGTGCCAAAATGGGTGCGGTGGGCGCAAGCGAGCGCAGCCAGTGTGGCCTTCGGTGGAGCTCTCTGTGGGGCCACGAAACGTGTGAGGGGTGTGCCGACGTGGGTGCGGTGGGCGTATGCGAACGCAGCCACTGGGGCTGTCGGTGGGGCTCCTTGTGGGGCCACGAAACGTGTGAGGGGTGTGCCGACGTGGGTGCGGTGGGCGTATGCGAACGCAGCCACTGGGGCCTTCGGTGGGGCTCCTTGTGGGGCCACGAAACGTGTGAGGGGTGTGCCGAAATGGAAAGGAGAGGAGAGGAGAGGAGAGGAGAGGAGAGGAGAGGAGAGGAGAGAGGGCGGCGCTCTTGTGGGACGAGGGAGGAGGAGGGGGAGGAGGAGAAGAAAAGAGGAGTGACACGGGGCACTGTCTCTTCAAAACGAGGACCCAACACCACAGGATGGTTGGAAAAAACAGGGATTGTCCTTAGGTGATGGAAAGATTTTGGTTTCTTGGTGGCCTCCTTGGAGGTCTCGGAGGCCTCTTGGAGCCGTCTTGGAACGCTTGTGGGGCCTCTTGGAGCATCTTGGGAGCCGACTTGAGGCATCTTGGGCTATCTTGAGCCATCTTGGAAGTCATTTTGGGCTCTCCGAGGCGCTCTTGGAGCCATTTTGGGCGAAAGTACCCTCTGACACCTCGCGGGGCGCCCCGTCCAGGTCCAGTGGAAGGGGTAGGGGGGGGGTCAAGGCACTCTCCAGATAGCAATCCGTCTAGCTCACTCCCACCCGCCTTCCCAACACATAAGGAACACTCGAGCCTCAGCATGTTCAGCGGTCGTTTTTGGATGGACAGGTACCGGGAACCAAAATCGAGCCCATGTGCGCGACGCTGGGGCGAGGTGTGCCACACGTGCCAGGCTCATCATTCGCGCCAGGCACCCCTGGGGCCCGAGCGTGCCAGGCACGCCCCGTGCGCCAGATGCGCCACGTGCTTCCGCGTGCGCCAGGTGTGCCGCATACTCCAGCCGCGCCAGGTGCGCGACGTTCGCGGCACGTGCAAGGTGTGTCAGGTGCGCCTGCGCACGTGCGCTTGCGCACGTGACAACACATATCGGGAAACATGTCGGCCCCCCACATGTTTGTCGCAACTCAATGCCCATCATTGTGTCTGATTTGGCCTGCGCACAGCAGGCCATACGCCACCACTTGACAGCGATCGCGGAGCGGTCGCGCATGATCCAGATTTAACCGCGAGGTGCATGTTGTATGATTCTTGTCAGGAATGGTGGCCCTGCGCGCAGCAGGCAATATGCTGACACCCCTACCGTCCCTGTCAATCACCAATACCCAGTGCCCGCAGGCCTCACGAACATGACTCCAGATGTTGCCCCGAAGTCTACTTCGTGTTGTTTTTTGACAGGGACGGTGAGGGGGGCCCGCGTCGGGTTGGCCGCGCATGCTCCAAACGTGGTGGCGGAGTGCGCGTTGCATTTTTTTCCGACCGGGATGGTAGGGGTGGAGCATGGTTCCTGGCTGGCTGCGGGACGCCTGGGGGAGGGGGGGTATGTTTCAGAGGGAACAGTGATAAACCCCTCCCCGTTGGGGACGAAGGGGATTGGAAGAGGAAACCCTCTAGACCACCTGCGCCCAGAGGGCTAGTGGGACTTCCGAGAAGGCGCGAGGGCTTTTGAGAAAGCGCGAGGGCTGGTGGGATTTCCGAGAAGGCGCGAGGGCTTGTGAGAAGTCCCACCGCCTTCTAAGAATGCCTTCTCCTTCTCACTTCCCCCACCCGCTCGCCGCCGAGAACAAGAACCGGCGTAATCCCACCAGTCCTTTGGCCGTAGGTGGTCTAGGGAATTTCATCCTCCAATCCCCTTCTTCCCTCTTCGGGGAGGGGTTTGTCACTGTTCCCTATGAATATACACCCCCTCCCCCAGGCGACCGGAACCCAACCAGGAACCATGCTCCCCCCCACCATCCCTGTCGAAAAACAATGCAACACGCACTTCGCCTCCACATTTGGAGCATGCGCGGTCAACCCGACGCGGGCCCCCTTCACCGTCTCTGTCAAAAAAAAAAAACACGAAGTACACTTCGGGGCAAAATCTGGAGTCATGTTCGTGAGGCCTGCGGGCACTGGGTATTGTTGTTTGATAGGGACGGCGGGGGTGAGCATATTGCCTGCCGTGCGCAGGGGTACCATTCCTGACAAGAATAATACAAAATGCACCTCGCGGTTAAATCTGGATCATGCGCGGCCGCCCCACGATCGTTGTCAAGTGGTGGCGTATGGCCTGCTGTGCGCAGGCCCAACCAGACAATGATGGGCATTGAGTTGCGACAAACATGTGGGGGGCCGACATGTTTCCCGATATGTGCTGTCACGTGCGCAGGCGCACATGCGAGTATGCGGCACATTTGGCGCACGCGGAGGCACGTGGCGCATCTGGCGCTCCGGGCGTGCCTGGCAAGCTTGGGCCCCAGGGGTGCCTGTCGCGAGTGACGCGCCTTGCACGCGTGGCGCACCTCGCCCCAGCGTCGCGCACGTGGGCTCGGTTTTGGTTCCCAGTAGCTGTCCATCCAAAGACGACCGCCGAACATGTTGAGGCTCGGGTGTTACTTATTTGTTGGGAGGGCGGGTGGGAGTGAGCAAGAAGGCTTGCGGGCGGGTTGGTAGCTTGAACCCTCCCCCCTACCCCCTACCCTGGACCTGGACGGGGCGCCCCGCGAGTGCTTTTTCGCCCAAGATGGCTCCAAGGGCCCCAGAGAGCCTAAGATTACCTCCAAGATGGTTCGAAATAGACCTAGATGCCCAAAGTGGCTCCCAAGATGCTACAAGAGGCCCCAAGAGCGTTTCAAGACGGCTCCAAGAGGCCTCCGAGACCTCCAAGGAGGCCCCCAAGAAGCCAAAACTGCATTAATTTTTAAAAGACAATGAATGATGTTTGCTTTCTCCCCTTTTCGCTTCCGATGGCAATCCGAGGCTTCAAGAGGGCCCCCGGAGAGGCCCAAGAGAGCCCCAAGACGGCTCCAAAAGCGCCCAGGAGCGCCCCAAGAGCGTTCCAAGAGGGGTCCAGGAGGCGATTTTCGGTGCTCCCGACGGGGGACGCCAATTGGAGCTCCCCTCTGTTTTGATCGATGTCCTCCAAGATGGCCCCAAGAGCGCCCCCGAAGCTCCCAAGAGCGCCCCAAGAGAGCCCCGAGAGGCGCCCAGACGGCCCCAAGGGGCTTCCAAAAGGCTCCCAAGAGACCCCATACGAGGCTTCAAGAGGATCCCCGAGGTACCCGACTCTCTCTCTCCTTCTCCTTCTCCTCCTTCTCGCCCTCCTCGTCCTCGCCCTACTCCACTTCCTCCTCCTCCTCTTCCGACGACGACGACGACGACTACGACGACGACGACGACGACGACGACGACGCCCACGATTTCTCCTACATCCTTCCCATCTTGGGGTAGATGGCGGCTTCCATAAGACTTCTCAGCAGGCCAGGCTGCTTCTGAGCCTTCTTGGAAGGCCTTCGCCTTCTCACTTTCAAGCTGTGGCGAAGCGTCCTGACTCGCCTGTAGGCCCACCAAGGATTTTTATAAGAACTTCTTGTGGCCTGCACGAAAAATACTTAGAACATGTCTGGCTGGGGCCGTTTCGGTTTAACACATCGGGTTTATGTTTCAAGAACACTGCTTATGCTCTTAGAACATGTCGGGGTTCTAAGAACATGTCACGGTAGGCCTAGAGGAATGTTGGGACGGTCGGTCCCTGTTCAACACTTCCCCCCCCCTCGCTCGCCGCCAGTGTTCAGCCAGGATCGAAGGTCGAGGTTTGAGGAACCAGGCCGCTCGGCGCTCGAGGGCCTTTTTTTCCACGGGACTACATGGGGCCGCCCGAGACCTCCTGAGGTCCTCGTCGTCGTCGTCACCGTCGTCGTCGTCGTCGATGTTCGTTGTCGTCGTCCGTCGTCGTCCGTTGTCGTCGTCGGCGGTGTCGTGATCGTCGGTCGTCGTCGCGGTCGTCGGTCGCCGTTGTCGTCAGTTGTGCGTTGGCAGTCGCCCGTCGTCCGTTGTTGTCCCTGTCGTCGTTGTTGTGCGTTGGCGTCTATCGTCGTCCTCCTCCCTCGGTCGTCGTCGAGGGGGAATGGGAAGAACAGAAGTGGAAGACCAGGAGGGCGAGGGGGAGGGGGGAGACGGAGAGAGAGGGAGGGGGGAGGCGGCAAAGGCGGACTTCAGCCGGAGGAGGGGGGACAACGAGGAGGAGGAGGAGGAGGAGGAGGAGGAGGAGGAGGAGGAGGAGGAGGAGGAGGAGGAGGAGGAGGGAGGGAGGAGGAGGGAGGAGGAGGAGGAGGGAGGAGGGAGGAGGAGGGAGGAGGGGGAGGAGGGAGAAACACGAGGACTCTCCCCCCCCCCCTTCGTTGGGGAGGAGGCGGCGGAGCGAGGAGCAGCAGAGGATACCGGGAGGAGGGACGCTCGGCGGAGAGTCGATAGGCGCGGAGGGCGCGGCGAGGGGGCGCCGAGGCGGTCGGCGACGACGCCAGCGGAGCCTCGGCGGCCCCGGGCGCCCCCCGGGCCCAGGCGCGGCAGCCGCTGCCGGGCGAGGCCGGCGGCGGCGGCACGGAGGGCGAGGGCGGGCCGGTGGAGGGCGCGGGCGCGGCGGCGGCCGCCGGCGAGCCTCCTGGAGCCGCCGCGCGGGGTGCGCCTCCTCCTCCTCCTCCTCCTCCTCCTCCTCCTCCTCCTCCTCCTCCTCCTCCTCCTCCTCCTCCTCCACAATTACTCAATAGAATGATACTACTCCCCCTCTTCCCCTGATGACGTGCTGGGAGTGCTCGCCCCCCCCCCCCGCGTCCTGTTTTTTTTACACCGGATTCCCGGGAGTTGGGTTTTCGCCTGCATTTGTTTTCAAAATGCTGCTCTCGCTGAGGCGCCGGCCTCATTTTCGGGCCCCGCTCGTTCCGAATAGTGTTCCCGCTGCAGCGTGGGTCTCATTTTCGGATCGGTGTTTTGCCTCCGTCGTTCCGGATGGCGTCTCGCCCCAGCGCGGGCCTCTTTCTCGCGCGCCCATCCGCCCGCCACCACCGCACCGCGCCCCGCCCCGCCCACCGCCACTTCCACCCACCAACGCACGCACGCACGCACGCACGCGCACCGCCACCACCACCCCACTACCCCACCCACCACCACCACGCTACACCGCGTCACACCACATCACACGCGCGCACACACAGACACACACGCACGCACGCACGCACGCACGCACTCATGCCGCACGACGCACACACACACACACACGCACACCACACACACACACACACACACACACCCACACACACACACACGCACACACACACCACCACCAACCACCACCACCACCCACCACCACAGCCAACCACCACCACCGCCATCACGCACGCACGCACCTGCCCACCACCAACCACCAAGACGCCACACCACGTCATACCACAGCACAGCGCACACACGCACACACACACACACACACCACACACACCACCACCACCACCACCACCACCACCACCACCACCACCACCGCCACCACCACCACCACCACCACCACCACAACCACAACCACAACCACAACCACAACCACAACCACGCACACACGCACGCACGCACGCGCACCACCACCCACTACGCACGCGCGCGCGGAGCCACAGGTCCGCTACGACACGCGTCCGCGGATAGAGAAAATCAGCGCCATGGTAAGGGATGGGAGGGAGGGGTAGGACGTCAGATATGACGCGAGCGCACATACCTTGTTCCTCCCCCCTCCCTCCCTCCCTCCCTCCCTCCCTCCTCGAGGTGTTTCGTGGGCCCACGGGGCCCGGAGGGCGTCGTGCGCAGAGCTCGCCTCGCGCGCGCTCGCGCGGCGCGAAGGGGCGCCAGCGCGATGCTGGGGCTGCCTTTGTAAGTCGGGCACGTGCCTCTGCAGGGGAGTATGCGAGAGTGGTTTTTGGTAGTTTGGTGTCGATCGTTCGTGCTTGTGTGACTCTGTTTGACCATGTCATCGGTTCGCCCATTCCGCCCCATATTTCCTCGCCGCTTGGGGGCCTCTTGAGGGCCTCTGGAAGGCAGTTTTGAGGCCTCTTGGGGGCCGTGTTGGTTTGTTTATGATTTGTCTTCCAAAGTCCGCCAGTAGGAGGACATGCCCGACCTCAGTGTCGTCCTGCGGCGGCGCTGGTTTGCCTTGCGTCGGGCCCCAGGGCCCGCACAGGTCGAGATCCAGCTCGAAAAAAATGCCGCAAGGAGATGGGGCCCAGGGCTCCACAGTCGGGACTTTTCGAGGTTGCGGCTGTTGTTCGCAGCGGCAACAGATCTCAGGGAAGGGGGGGCAATGAGTGGCGGGATCTTAACAGTTTTCGGCCTTTGGGGGCCCTCGCCGGGCCTCAGAAGCGTCAAAAATCATCTCGGGACGAAAAACTGGCCCTTGGGAAGTGGTCTGGACCTCAGGGGCCCACACATCGAAAAAGTTTTAGATCCAGAAACGATGTCCAGGCGAGCTGAGGTGATCAGGGAAGTGCGGGAGCAAAAGGGGGGACGGCCGGACCGTGCGAAGGAGGGAGGAGGAGAAGGAGGAGGCTGGATGGATGGATGAGGGAGTGGGGAGAAGGAGGATGAACAGGAGGAGGAGGAGGAGGAGGAGGAGGAGGAGGAGGAGCAAGAGAGGAGTAGGAGGAGGAAGGAGGAGCAGGAGGAGGAGGGCAAGCAAAAGGGCCAGAGGTCTCTTGGATGCCTTTCGGAGCCTCTTGGGATATCTCTTGGGCGCTGTTGGTGGCCTCTTGGGACGTCTTGGGGCGGTCTTGGGGGCTCTTGGGCGTCTTGGGTGCCTCGGGGGGCCTCTTGGGGGCCTCCTGGGTGTTTCTTGGGGGCCTCTTGGGGCCTCTTGGGGCCATCTTGGGGCCTCCTAGGGCCTCCTGGGCGCTTCTTTGGGCCATCTTGGAGGACATCGATCAAAGAAGAGGGGAGCTTCAATTAGGGTTGCCCCCCCAGAGGCCAAAAAGGAGCCAAAACTCAAGTAAAACCAATGATTGTGGCTTCCTCGCCGAGGCCGTATTGGACGCTCTGACCGCTCGCGACCGGCCCCGTCCAGGTCTAGGGGAGGGGGTAGGGAAGAGGGGTCGACCCTTCCCTGAAGGGGAAGAAGGGGGGTGGAAGAGGAAACTCCCTAAACCACCGCCCAGAGGGCTGGTGGGATTGGATGTCTGGGAACGGGGGGGGCTCGAGGATTGCAGGAAAGTGGCCTTGGATAGGGCCCTGACAGAAGGCTCCTGGACGGCCACCGTGGAACTGGAAGCTGCGCGAAGGGTGCACACTTCTTCACCGCACGGGTCTGGCCCCCCAGTTCACGAACACGCGAGTTGGTGGTTTTCGGATGTTGTTTTTCCCTGTTCATGGAGGTTTTCCAGCCTCGGGGTGTCTTCCTGCTGCGTCTCGCCGAGGGCGTTCAGGGGGTGCACGAATCGTCCCGAACGGCCGCCGTGACCCGAGCTATGACCCGAATCACAAGTTTGTCCACATCTTGGAAAAATCGCGACGCATTTGCTTGCTACTTTCGGCCTCAAGGGGCCTTCAACGGGACCCGGGGACGTCGAGAAATTTACAGTTCGGGGCGAAAAGCGGGTTCCCAGGAAGGGGTCCAGAGCTCTGGGGAGCCACGTTGCGGCAAGAGCCGCGGCGTCGGAGATCTAGGCCGCCGTCGTCGTCGTCTTCGTGGGTCGTCGCCGGTCGTGGTCGGTCGTCGCCGGGCGCGGGCGTCCTCGTCGCGGTCTGCACGTGGGTCGGGGGTTTGCGACAGCGGCGGAGAGCGGGTGGGGATCGACACTGCACGTCTCCTTAAAGGGGCTGGGGGTCCTGGGAGAGTCGCGCCACGGGTGGTTTTCCGCCGTGTTCGGACCCGCGGGGACCGTGAAACAACGGCTCGGAAGGAAGAATTGGCTCCGGGGAGAGGCCCCGGGGTCCAGGGCCCGTCGTCCGCGCCGTGTCAAACGAGTCATCTCCAGGGGCTCCGCGTGCCCATGCATCTGCCGAGGCGCCTGGGCAAGATGCGCGCACACCCCGCGGGCCATCCGCCCCTTCTGCTTACCCCGGGTGATCCCCGTCGTCGTCGCGTTCGCCGCCGCCAGGAACCAGGAGTTGCGCTGGCTGAGTCGGGAAGCCTCTTGGAGTCTCACCCTCTCGCACGCGGCCCCAGGCCGGCGGGATCACAACGCAGCCTCGCTCACGTTCCCATGTCCTTCTCGTCGTGTTCCCCATCCCTGCTCATTCGTCCTCCGCCTCTCTATCGTTCCCCTTGCGCGTCTTCATCTTGGCCTCCTCCTCCTCCTCCTCCTCCTCCTCCTCCTCCTCCTCCTCCTCCTCCTCCTCCCTCATATTATTAATTATCCTCCCTCGTCATCCTAATCCGCCCTTCTGTTCATCCTCCTCGTCCGCATCTGCATCCCTTGTCCTTCGCCCTCCTGTTTCATCCTCATTCCCTGCCTCGTCCTCCTCCTCCTCCTCCTCCTCTTCCTCCTCCTCCTCCTCCTCCTCCTCCTCCTCCTCCTCCTCCTCCTCCTCCTCCTCCTCCTCCTCCTCCTCTATACTCCTCAAAATTATCCTCCGTCCCGCAACAGGCCAGGCTCGAGGTGCATTCTCTCGACCTGCCCATCTTCGCCCACGCCTGGCAAGAGCAGCTCGTCTTTCGCCGGTGGGTCCACGCGGTCATGCGGCCAGGAGTTCGCGCGGCTCCACGCCGGCACCGCGGCACGGCGCCGGGGCCCGGCGGCCCCGCCGCGGCCTCCCGCGGGCAAGGGGGGGGGGCGTCAGACCAGCGGCCCAGGCGGCCGCTCCCCCCCGGCGGAGAGGCGGCAGCAGCGGGCGAGCGCTGTCCAGGTCGCCGTCCGTCGGTGGCGTCGCCGCGCCGGGCGAGCGGGCCGTCTCGGGGGGGGTGGCGGGGCGGCGGCGGGCCCTGCTCGAGCAGCTCCAGTGCACCCCTCCAGCCTCCCGCGCCGGAGGCCCCTGTCCCTCCGCGAAGGGGCATCTGGCCCCAACACGGCTCGAATGCTGCACGTGCCCCCCAACCCCCCCCCGAAATTCTGGGTGGCGGTCGACGTATGTTTTCCCACCATTGTTGGCCGTGCTGGCGATGGTTGGGGGGGATTTCTCCTGGCGGACATCATCCCTTTGGCTACGTGCAGAAGAGGGGATCCCCGTGTCTGTTCGCACGAGGCATCTAGTACGAGACCGTGTCCTTCCTCCTTCTCCTTTCATCCTCCTCTTCCTCCCCCTCCTCGCTCCTCGCTCCTCTTCCTCCGCCGTCGGACAGCGACCGCGGCATGAAGGTGGTCCTGTGGGGAACTTCCGCGGCCTGGTTCACTCGGGCTTCACGCACACAAGTTGGACCTCCTCCGCCCACATCTCCGTGCACGCTCTCGATTCGTATTCCAAGAAGTTCATGGCTCGAAGGCGGCCCTACGCGTTACAGTGCAGGCCCAGTTTGAGCCCTACTTGCAAGGTCTTTCACAATCCTGGCCCGTCGGCGGCGGCTGGCGGCGTTCTCGGCCCTCCTGGTGGCCGAGACGCCGCGAGGTCAACCATATCTGACCTACCAATGCAACGACATGGAGCTTGGCGCCAGCTCTTCCGCCTCACGTTGAAATCGAGGCGGATAAATTGCCCATAGCGCCCGCTCCCAGATCGACGGCGCGGCCAAGTCCCCCGGGGTCTTCTCGGGCCCGCGGAGTGGATGAATGACGTCTGTAATTTGGGCTTCTTCATCGGCAGCTCTGCTGTCACATATGCTCCTCCTCCGCCGCGGCGATGGCCACCTGGACCCGCCGCGCCGGCACCCGCGGCGGGCGGGCAGACCCGCCCGCGGAGCCCCCGCACTCCTGGACGACGGCCCTGCGGAGGACCCCGCAAGGCCCTCAGAGCGTGAATGACCTACCCCGCTTTCGCTTCCAGGCAAAGCCAAGTCGTGCCACGCGCCTCCTCGTCAAGCGGCCTGACCAGTACAGGCCGCAGTTTGGCATCGCTTGGTGTCTCTTGGAAGCGAGGGTGGTCAAAAGCGAGGTAGGTTTCTTTGCCCCCTAAAGGCGGGGGGAGTTCCCCGCCCGCGCTCGCACCCGCGGGAGGTGGTCCTCGGCCTCCGCGGCGAGCCGCTGCAAGGACGTCTGCCAGCCAGAGATCGTCGCAGCCGCCGCGCGCCATCGGATGCCCGGCGCGCGAGGCTGCCGCGCCGCCGGGGCAGGGGGGCTTTAGCCCATTCGCCAGGGCCAACAGGTCTGCTCGGCGGAAGGACGAAGGCAGGACGCGCAGGCGCGCGCAGAGCAGCAAATGTTCGCGCCCGCGGCCCGCATTGAGCGATGGGAGGAACTGGGCCACGCACGATCGGCAGCCGACCGGCCGCGGCACGGCCCCGGCCCGGCGCCGCCATTTCGCGCAGGGCAGCTCCCAGTCTCCTCGGGGCCGTCTCGGGCCTTCGCTTCGGAGCCTTGCCGGGCCCTCGTCGACTTGTCCGGGGCCATCCTCGAACTTCCTTGGGGCGCCTCTCGGGCCCTCCTGCGGCCCGTTCCGGGGCTTCCTCTCGCGGCCTTGGTTGGACCTCTTGGGCCCCTGCTGGCGGCTCCCATTGGGGTGCTCTTCGGTTCTTTTTGGGATTGCCCTCCGGTCCTCTCCGGCGGCCCCTCCTCGGGCGCTCTGGAGGTCTTTTTGTTCCCGGGCACCCTTCCGCGCGACTGCTCGGCCCGCGGTCTCAGTGCGTGGCCCCCCAGAGTGGCGGGCGAGAACGATGGGGCGGCGGGGGCGGCAGCAGTCTGCGAGGCTCTGAAGGAGCCTGCCGCAGGCGCAGAATTTCTCACGCCATGCAGCTAGCCCGCCGCGGGCGCCGATTTTTTGTTAAAACAATTTGGGCGGATCACTAGTAGGGTCGCGGGTGGGTCGACGGTGGGTCACGGGTGGGTCGTCGCGGGCGGGTCGCGGGCAGGTCGCGGGTACGTCGCGGGGCGGGTCGCGGGCGGGTTGCGAGCGGGTCGCGGGCGGGTTGCGGGGCGGTCGCAAGCGGGCCGCGGGCAGGGTCGCGGGGGGGAGGGCGCAGCAAAACAAGCAGAATCTTCGCCGTGAATCCCCATTTCAGCACGCACCCAGGGACAGCGAATGACCGCTCGACCCCCTCACTCCGATTGTTAGGGTCTGGGGCGGATCGCTGGCGGGGCGCGGGAAGTGCTCGCGAGGGCGACGCCCCCACAACAATGCAAACCAGCCCGCCGCGCCGCAGGGCGCCCTCCTAAACCGATGCAAGGCAGCCCGCCGCAGGGCCGAATGTCGCATTTTGTTTACGAATTTCGCATTTTGTATCGCGGGGTGGGTCGCGCGCGGGTCGCGGGGAGGGGTCGCGGGCTTGGATCGCGGGGCGGGTCGCGGGCGGGGCGGGTCGCAGGGCGGGTCGCGGCATGAATGACCGATCTGATTTCTTTATTTGGTTATCTCTCTTTCTCTCTCTCTCTCTCTCTCTCTCTCTCTTTCTTTCTGTCTCTCTCTCTCTCTCTCTTTCTCTCTCTCGTTCTCTCTCTCTCTCTCTCTTTCTCTCTGTCTCTCTCTCTCTCTCTCTGTCTTCCTGTCTCTCTCTCTCTCTCTCTCCCTCTCTCTCTCTATGTATATCCTGTATCTATGCATATATATATATATCCCTATCTGTTTCTTTTGTTTCTCTCTCGCTCTCTCTCTCTCTCTCTCCCTCTCTTTCTCTCGCTCTCTCTGTCTCTGTCTCTCTCTCTCTCTCTCTCTCTCTCTCTCTCTGTTGTAAATGCTCTCTCTCTCTCGTTCTCTTTTGCTCTCTCTCTCTCTGTCTCTTTGTTGTTTCTCTTTCTCTCTCTCTCTCTCTCTCTCTATAGTGTCTCTCCTTGTGGCTTCTAAGTACGTCTATCGCCTCAATATATCTATATATATATGTAAATGCTTTCATGGCTATCTGTCTCTGTGGTTTTCTCTGTCTCTACCTCACTCTCTTTCTCTCCCGGTCTCTCTCTCTCTCTCTCTCTCTTTATTTCTCTCTCCCTCCCCCTCTTTCTATAGTTAGTCATATTGATATCGAGTTGTCTTTCTCTGTCTCTCTATTTCTCTCGTTCTCTCTCTCTCTCTCTCTTTCTCTTGCTCTCTGTCTTTGTGTTTCTCTCTCTCTCTCTCTATCTGTCACGCACACTCCCTCACTATGTATATAGGTATACATACATGCACCCCTCTCTCTCAGTACTTCTCTCCTTCTCTCTCCCTCATGTTATGTGTTTCCCTCTCTGTCTGTTATGTTTCCGTTTCTCTGTCGATATATATATATATATATATATACACATACATATATATATATATACATATATATATGTTTATTGATCTGTCTCTCTCTCTCTCTCCCCCCCCCCCGATCTGGAAAGGCAAACGTTTTGGCAAATACGAGCCACAAGGTGCCCTATCAGTTGGAAATACATAGCCCTATTGTGGGCTGGCCAGCAGGGTCGGTTGACAGGCGTGGCCAGACAACCAGAGGGTTGGCCCGAGCGTTGGCCGGGGTAGTTTTTCGATTGTCAGAATTCTCCACGCCAGACATCGCCCAGATGTGGTCAACATTCTTCCAGAAGCGGCCGACGTGGACCAAGCATTACCCTAAAGCTCAGGTCGTGGGGCAGACGATGGTCGTTTGAGTCTGGACGATTGCCGTGCCATCCCCCTCTTCTTTGTGTTTCCCTGCAGAGGCTTCCCGACGGCGGAAGCCTATTCGGTTCGACGCTGCGGAACCGATGAAAAACAAACGGAGCCAGTCTCTCCGCTTGCTCTCCTACTTTCTGTCCTTGGCGTGCCCCTCGTCGCGTTGCACAGTAAATTCCTTTCTCCTTCGATTGGGCAATCATGCGGCACCGATGCTGCGGAACCGCCCCCCCCTCCCTGGAGGCATAGACACGAAGGGGGAGCGACGATGGAATTTGCAGCCCGTTGTGGAGTTGGACGGTCGCCCACCTTTGTCACAGTATCTGTCGTTGTGAACTCTCATTGTGTCCATGGTGCCTCGTCCCCTTCCTATACTTACATTCGCGTGTTCCCCCAGCAGTGTGTGCTTTCAGGGGGGGCCGATTTCTTTTCTAGGGAACGGTGTGGTGGTGACCACGACGACGACGACGACGACGACGACGAGGGCAGCCTCGGCGCGCCCTCGGCCGCCCGCTTCCTGGGCATTCAGCATCATTAGGCTTCAAAATTTGATCAACTGCAGTCCCTATTTACCACTAGCACAAGGCGGTCATTCGGGCTACAACTTTTTCGCTCGAGCCGCGCCTGTGCGTGATTGGTGTCGATGCGTTAGGTTCCTTGGGAAAGGTGGCGCCCGGGCTCTCGCCGCCTGTCGGGCCGCTGCCTCCGCCTCGCCGCTGCCCTCACCGCGCCAGGGGGTGTCCCGATGGTTGTTCCGATGGTGCCCGATGGTTGTCCTGCTGGCTGCCTCGTGGTTGATATATAGGTGGGTAGATAGATTTATAGATAGGTAGACATGTGTGCATATATATATATATAGACATATAGATGGGTAGATGAATCCATTGATTAGTTGATGGAAGCATAAAATACAAAAACACAGACCGATTTGGTATATTGATTACTGAAAATGATAGATATGCTGCAGCTGTTCAGCGCGCGCGCCGCCGGGAGGTGATTTCAATTGGCGCATTTCCTGCTCGTGCCTTCTTCCTGCTTTCCTTCTTCCCTCTTCTGCCTCCAGGCGCACTTAAGTCGGGGTTGCGTCGGGTGTTTCTTCGTTCTCCCTGAGTTGGTCCTTCCGGGGCACCGAGAACCCGCGGGGAGCGTTGCCTGGTGACGCCGGGGCATCGCGCCGCCCCTTTCGTCAGCCTGCCCGCGCGCGCAATTGACATCTTGACCCCACCAGGGGCCCCACCACACTGGCTCGCAGACTAGAGCCACCCGGGAACCCCTACTGTTTTCTTGATCCCTCCACCTCCCACGAGTGGCTGGCTCAATCGCGGTGCGTTGTGCTCGCGATCCCGCGACGTTGGGCCGGTGCGCCGCCGCGTCTGCACCAGCGCAGTGGCTTCTGTTTCTGGCGCTCCCCGGTGCAGCCCCGGTCTCTGACAAGGCTCGCGGCGGTCGAGGAGCACGCGGCCTGGCGCCATGCGCTGGACTTGTCTTGGCACGTCACGCTGCGCAACCGCGCTTCGACTCACCCGAAGGCTTGGGGGGGTTTGGCCCACTCGGTCAAAGCGTGCAAAATATTCCAGCAGGCAGGAGGCGGAGGATGGCGGTGAATGTGAAATTGTCGAACTCCTTCGCGCCGGGAGATGGGCGCCAAGTATATGGCGTGGGGACGGGCGCAAGAAAATAAGAGGCGTCGGATAACGCACGCCGGCACGCCATGGCGCGGCTTCTCATGTTAGGGCAGCATCCGTTTCGGTATTTCCGCTACCGTTTCGGTACCTTCATACCCGTTTCGGTATTTCCACGATTCCGTTTCGGTACCTTCATCTACTCGTTTCGGTACCTTCATGTATTCGTTTCGGTACCTTCATTTATTCGTTGTGGTACTTCCACCAATCCGTTTCGGTACTTCCACCAATCTGTTCGTTTCGGTTTAATTTTATTCGCTTCGGTATTTGCACGGCGTGTCGAAAAGAGACGCGGAGCGGAAAAGAAGGGAGAGGGGAAGAGGAAGCGGGGGAAAGAAGAAGCGGGAAAGAACAAAAAACGGCATTACGCCGGTTAAAGCCGTGGTCCACGAATTGTGGTAATGTTTCGCCGATCTCGCATGGCACGGGTCGTTCCTTTCCCCCCCCCTCTGTGTTTTAATTCTCTCCGGGCCTTTCCTTCTTCTTTCCGCCGTGCACCTATCCTCGTCGTCCTCCTCGTGTATCCTCCTTCCTCCTCCCTCCTCCTCCCTCCTCCCTCCTTCCTCCCTCCTCCCTCCTCCCCCCTCCCGTCCCTCCTCCCTTCTCCTTCCCTCCCTCTCTCCTCCCCTTTTCTTCCCTCCTCTCTCCATCATTCCTCCGCCTTCCCTTCTCCTTTTCCATCCTTCCCCCTCTCCCTCCTCCCTCCTCCCTCCCCGGTCCTGCTCAGAGGCGCGAAACAACCGTCGCTTGTTATAATTCCCCGCCCTTTTTCCAGGGACCGGGGAACGGAGGGGGACCCTTTAATTATTTATCATCATATCTTATTTCATGTTCCGCTTTCTGCTCTTCCTCTTGTTTTACCCTGATTTGGACGCGTGCGTGGGCTTCGCAAATATTTTGCACCAAAAGTAAATGAATAACCGCGTCCGAAACGAGGAAGACAATACGAAATCAAAGCAGGACAACCACAACATTTAAGTTCTCTTACCTTGCTATGCCCGGTATGGGAACACAGAAACACCAGAACATGTTGCCTAGCCTTATTGGCTCAAGTCCACATCTGCGCTTCCGCTACCGAAGATCTCAACAATCTTGTTTCTTTACTCCGTGCACATCAGGTAACGTGATGCTCGCGCATTCTTGCGTGGACAATTATATGGTTTCTTGGGTGCGGCACAACTTGGTTTCTTGGGTGCTGCACAACTTGAGGCACTGTCGACGAACAGATGATGCGGCGATTTTCGAATAATTACAGAATGGTTTCAGAAATTGAATGCCGGACGAATGGAACCGGCAAGTGCAATGATACAAAACGGAAGGCCCTGAAAGAAACGGTACTGGTGCAGAAATATCGGCACACAGGTTCACGCAATACGTCCTTGGAGCCAGGCATTGCGAAGAACGTCGAGCAATTCGAGATGCTTACCACGACGAGCGATATTTAAAAATGCTTAAAAATTTGTGAAATCACAGGCGTGTCCCCGTGGGAGCAGGTAGCGCTCAAAGGCACGCGGGCTCTTGCTAAATTCGCTGCGCGGCCGGGTACATCCACCAGTGTTGGTTCTGCCAGCAGGAGCACGCGGCCAGCCCCGCGGGCATCTGCGCCTACTGCCGGTTCTGCCAGTAACGCGCAGCCAGTACACAGGGCGTCTGCGCTCAATGTTGCTGCCCATGGCGCAAAGGAAGAACGCGCCGGCAGAACAGTTGCCGCCCCGGGGGGCGATTATCTTGGAGACGATGATCCCGGAGATGGCGATCCTGGAGACGATGGTAAACAGTTGACGTGGACTCAAATCGGAGATCCACGCGCATCCGATGAGCCGTTCGAAACGTTCGTCCGGAAAGATTTGTTTTGATATGTTATTGCGTCCTTTCTCGCTTATTTGTTGCTCTTCCGTTTTGTTTGTTTCCGCCCCAAAGGAACAGCAAAAAAATGCCATGTAGATCAGAAAACTTTCGGTCGTTTGGACTGCAAATCCACGCGAGAGATTCGGACATTTTCGGCCCCCGGAGGGTCTCCGGGGATTCGCACAGTTGGTGTGGGAGCAAAATCATCAACCATCTGCGTCTGTCTCTGCGTCTGTCTATTCCTCGCCCTTGTCTCAGACAGACACAGACAGACTCGCAGACAGACTGTTCCAAACGCACAGACACAGACACGCAGACACACAGACAGACACACAGACTGACAGACAAACAAACAGACAGACAGATTGACACAGACAAACATACAGACAGCCAAACAGACAGACAGACAGACAGACAAACAGGCAAACAGACAGACGGACAAACAAACAGACAGAATGCTTGCTGGCCTCGCTCGCTTGCTTTTTCGCCCCTGCGCCCTGTTCCTCCCTCTGCTTTGCCCTCCCCCTTGCCCGGCCCGCGGAGAACGTCGTCGGCAAATCGGTGAAAATGCGCAATTTCAAGACGGTGCTGCTTCGCGACGACAAGGTACGTCAATTTGTGATCGTGGTTTGCAAACAGCACGTCGATTCAAATGAGAGAATGCGCGGTAATTTCCTCAAATATGTGTAACAAAATGGGCCGTGATAATTTTCAAATCCGGCGCTTGCTTACCTTTACCATCACCGGCGCAACAAAGGAAAGATAAACGAGCCATCTAGAAACCAATGGCCGCTAACCTATTGCCAGTGTCCACGCAAATTATCCATGTGAATCCCGACAAAGACGAGCGTGTACAGAGAACGGTCAGTTCAACGGGCCGCCGCTCATGGGACAGGGCCGAGTGCCCCCAGCCAATGGGAAGAGGAAACAAACACCTTGCAGCCAAAACCCGATGAGCCTGCGTAGCGTCTCACTATAGACCCGCTGTATTCTTTGCCGAGCCAACAGATTATCATCTTACGCTGCAAGTTCTTGACGGACGCGGTTGCCAGATTCGTGCGAACCCAACCGCCCGAGTATCGCCTTCGGGTGTGTTGCGATGCGACGCGCAATATGGGCATTCAAAAGTTTAAGCTTATGTTAGTCGGGTGGCTCGGGACGCATTACGAACGTGGCGAATGGCGCACCACGTTCGTCCCCATTGCGTTCGCTTTGGCACGTGCAGAAGATGTACAATCCGTGGAAGCAATAGTGGTTTCAGCTATCCAGACAATCAAGACTGCACACAATTTGGACATAGTTGAGAGAACATCAAATGTGTATCTTGATGGTGGACCTGCCTTGTCAAACGCGTTCGAACGGTTATTTCCAAATGCCACCCAAATCCGTTGCGTGGAACACGCGAAAAAGAATGTAATCCAAAATGCTTGGCGCTGGGTTACGCGGAGCTACGGATGGGAGGTCCGGGACAACGTTCACCGGAGCTGCACACTACCACCTCCAATTCCGACCCTAAGGGGCCATAAGGAGCCCTAAGGGGCCCTGGAGGGCCCCGAGGAGCCTTGAGGGGCCCTGAAAGGCCCTAAGGAGCTCTGAGGGGGCCTTAAGTTACCCTACAGAGCCATAAAAGGGCCTGGCCCTAAAAGGCCGTAAGCGCCCCTAAGTT